TGCTGCTTGGCCTGCTGTGTTCATCCAGCTCTGCACCTTGTTGTCTCAGATTCTCCAGCATCTGCAGTTCCTACTATCTATGATGCTGGTGGAAACAGTTTTACATAATGAACTAATTCACAATGCGTTTAGGCATCTTGGTTTCCATGTACCTCGTTAACTTATGCTTTTTCATGTACTATTTAATTGCATCTGTTAAATTAGGCTCAACTGAATGAGCAGCTTGAGTATCAGTAATGACTGACCAGTGAGTATCATTAAATCATTATAGAATGTATTCAGCCTCACTCGCAAATTGAACAGTGAGAGGCTTGCATTGCTGATGTTGGAACACTCACTCCAGCCACCCAGGTCTGGCACTGTCATTTTACTATTGTAGTAAATGACCCAGTACCATTTGACCACTGAGCAGGATTCAGCTAGATTTTCAGTACTGCAATGAATTTGCAGCTATGGTATGTGTGAGTTGCCTGTTTGAGTATTATAGTTGTGAGAGTTTAAAATAACCTCTCCTTGGTCTGTTGAGGTGGTTATGCCAACAGAAAAGTAGATTGTTAAATTCAAACTAAATTGGGAAGTGGTATAATATTTTGACGTCAATCACAAGCCCACAGGGACTACAGTAGGAAAATCATTCTGGTCCACCATACTTTCATGCTGTAACCATTTCCTGAAATGTCCTTGTCTAACCTGGCCCGGTGAAAAGCAATTTTCTGCATTTCAAAATTTTTTTTTTTACTTTAAGGCATCCCCAGATGAATAAAAATATCCTGACTTTTCCAGCTTTTACTTTATGACTCAGAGTAACTAGATAATGTGCTGCCCACATGGTGATCTTTTCATTTTATGATTCCTGGCAGTTCCTGGTGCAGTCCGTAACACCCTAAAATCCTGTTTGGAGAACCTCCAGTGCTCAGTTTGACGTCCAGAGAAGCATGCTGCTCCATAAACAAAAAGGGGAGCTTTATACGGTATCCTTCTACCTCTTTTGTTTTAATCAAAATGAACTTTTGTTAAGAACAATATGCAGTTTGGTCACTGCCATTAATGTAATAAAAACATTCCAAGGCTATTATCGCGATTATCAAACAGAATTGACCACTGAGTCAGAAAAAGAGATTTTAAGGAAGGTGACAAAACGCTTGTTTAAAGAGTTAGGTTTTAAGGAGCATCTTAAAAAGAGGAGACAGAGCCAGAGGGGTTTAACACTTATATTCCAGAGCTTAAGATCTAAGCAGCTGATGAAATGTACATAAAAGCAAAATAATACAGAAGCTATAAACCTAAAGCAAGAAAATGCTGGAAAATCACAGCAGGTCTGGGAGTGTGTATGGAGAGAGAAACAATGTTAATGTTTCGAGTGCAGTATGACTTAAGCTTTCGTCAAACGTCATTGTGATTTTGCATGCTACAGGTGGCTGTTGCTATTTTCCTCTCTGTTACTGATTCCAGATTGTGATAATTGATGTTTAGATCACAGTGATAAGAGTCCATAAAATACAGTCTTGGGCATCCCACTGATCATCTCGCTCTAGCTTCTTAGTCATACAGAAAGTCCTTCAGTATATGACCATTTTTTATCATGTGGACCTGCTCCACCCAATGAAGCCACCTCTGTTTGATTGTAAACAAACTTGGGAACTTTTCCTCTGAAACAAGTGCTGTATTCATAATTTTCTCAGCCAGGATATAATCTTAATGTTCTGTCAACAGTGAAGATGGAAATTGATGAGCTTCTATTCTTAACAGTTAGAAGTCATCAATGTTTCATAAGCTGCTGAGAACACAAACCTTAGAAACCACCAGCATGGCCCTAAGAGTCAGATGATGTAATTCCAAGCACATTTTGAGTTGGTCAAAAGTAGCCACTGCTTTTCCTTTGTGTATCAAGCTTTCCATCAAAGGGCAGATTGTTAGCCATTTACAATGAACAGTATTTAGTGTGATAAGAATGAACTTGCAAAACCTTGTCCTGTAATTCGTGTTTTCTTGACAGTTCTCATGAGAACAAGTTATAGATATGAGAGGTAGGTATAGGTGTGCATTGGAGATATTACACAGCGCTGTTTCACTCCTTCATCATTCTGAAACTGCCGGACGTGTATATTGAGCTGCGCAATACAGTGCCTGTTGTCATGGAAGGAGTGGATAAGACTAAGGAGCTTTGGTGGACAGCTAGTTTTCTCCCAAATCTTGCACAGCTGAACTCTGTTCATTGTGTTGAATATCTTAGTAAGCCCTTTGAAAGTAATGTAAAAAGATATATTCTTTATTCGTATACTTTTCTCTTAGCTGGTATATGGAGAAACTAATGTCTGCAGTAGGAGCAAATCTGTATTGAAAACAATAAATGCTGGAAATCACAGCGGGTCGGGCAGCATCCATGGAGAGAGAGTGAGCTAATGTTTCGAGTCTAGATGACTCTTCATCAGAGCTGAAGTGAAGTGTAGAGGGGGCAGCATTTATGCTATAGTTGGTGGCAGAGGGGAACGTTGGAGTGTAGAGTGCGAGGGGAGAAAAAATGTTGATAGTTCAGATTAAGTGATTGGCATGTGAGAATGGCAGAACAATGGTGTGTCTAACTGTCAGACTTGAAAGAACAGACAGTCCCACTGGGGTGGAGGGAGGGGAGAGAGGACATGGTGATAGAGAAAGTAACAA